ACTGCCAACTTATTGGTGGACTATTGGTTTGGGGAGGGGGAGGCCCACCCACCTGCTGGAGGTGAAAAGAGCCGCTGAGCTCGAACCATCCCAAACCAAAGTTTTTTCGCTGAGCACAGTTTTTGACACCCAAATCGACACTGCAAAAATGGGGTAGTTCCCATCATGACGCCCAAATCGCAGGGCCGCGAAAGCAGCGCGGTACCTGGTTGTTGTTATTGTTGTTGCTGTTGGTGGTGGTGGTTCTGGTGCTGGTGCTGGTGCTGGCGCTGGTGCTGGCGCTGGTGCTGGTGCTGGTGCAGGTGCTGGTTGTTGTGGTTGCCGTTGTGGTGGTGGTTGTTGTGATTGTTGTTGTGGTTGTGCCTGTGGTGGTCGTGCTCGTCGTAGTGGTTCTGGTTTCTGTTTCTATTGCTGTTGCGCTTGCCGTTGCCACTGCAGTTTATAGTTCTGTTCAGTGTGTGCCTGTTTGTGGTTGTCATTCTTGTTGTTTTGTTGGTTTGTTTGGTTTGTTTGTTTGTTTGTTTGTTTGTGTGGTTGGTTGGTTGGTTGGTTGGTTGGTTGGTTGGTTGGTTGGTTGGTTGGTTGGTTGGTTGGTTGGTTGGTTGGTTGGTTGGTTGGTTGGTTGGTTGGTTGGTTTGGTTTGTTTGTCGGTTTGTTTGGCGGGTTTGGTTTGGTTTGTTTGTCTTTTTTCTTTTTTCTTTTTGTGTGAGTTTTTGTTTGCCTTGTTTTTGTTTGTTTGTTTGTTTGTTTGTTTGTTTGTTTGTATTATTGCAGCCACAGTCGTTGTTTTTATCATTGTCGTCGTAGTTGTCGTTTAAGCAAGACACTTGCAGTTGTAAGATGTCAAGGATTGTAAGGGGCTTGCTTCCGAGGTTTTGTGGCACCATGGACTACCTTTCCCCGGAAATGGCAACGATGCCCAGCGCCGTTTGCTAGCGAGGTCGGCACGTGTTCAAGCAAGGTTCTGGCCCTTACTCTACCAAGCCTGCCAATTGAAGCTGGCATTTGCGTGGTGCGGTATTCTTTGCTGTGGCGATCCGCAAGTATTAGGTCTCCCGCCAGCCGCATGACCATCGAGTGGACATTTGGGCCTGCCTGGCCTGGCATGCACGTGTTTGGAGTCCAACTCCAATGTGAGACTCTTTGTAATAGACCTGTTCTGCAATCTTTGCATGTGAGGCTTGTTTCAGCGACTGTGACTCGCTCTTGGACCGTACTCATCTGCTCTTCAGGCACTTGGCGTCCTGCTGTATGAGATGCTGGTCGGACAACCACCCTTCCAGGGAAGGCGCACCGCGGGAAGAATTGCGGCAAGCCTGTGACTTGCACACATTGATGCTGGAGCCATGCAGGAACAATGCTCACGCTTTGCAGAGAATCTTGTCTGTGGACCTTGTCATGCCAACCGCTCTCCCAGAAGGAGTCAGCAGCATTGAGCCTTTTGGTCTGCTTTGTGGCAGGTATGAGGCAGCAAGATTTGCGGGGATACAAATCCAAGAAAGGCTTGGGGCGACTTTGCAATTTGCAGGAGCTGCAGCCCTCATCCAGGCTCTAATGCAGGCGCTCCTGATTTCCATTGGATACATCTTCCACTGGGCGCACGGGGAACTCCATTTTTTCTTTGTTAGGCGACTCCGGAAGATCGCCCAAGCTTGGAGGCAGCGCTCCGCTGGCCTTGGCTCCAGGACGGGGCAGTCACACAGAGTCAAACGTCCGAGGCAGAGGGTCTGTGGGCAATGGCTACCCGTGGCAATGGCATGTTTGGACAACTGCCCACGAATGCATACTTTGAGTCTCAAATCAAAACTTGTAATGATCATGCACAAACGTAGGGCTGTCGATGATGTAGCACAGCACCAAAATCTGTATGTGTATATCAATATATTCGGGTACCTCAGCCTGTGCTTGTCCATGCCAGCTTTCCGTGTCTTCTGCAGCCGCTCGAGTTTCTGGTAAATACGAAAGCATTTCCTTTGTCAAACGCTGGAAATGCTGACGCCGCAGCAAGTTTCAGCGACATTGAGCAGACTCTAGGCTTGTCTTTGCCCTGTATTCCGCATGATATGACGTATATATATATATATAAATATTATGCAATGCATACATACATATCCATGTCTATTTGTGTCTATGTATTGCTTATACATAGATATTCATACATTCAACTTTGCAATGAAGAGGCGAGAACGTAGCGATGACTTTTGGAAGACTATTGTAGAAACTTGCTAGGAACTTCTAGCTTCTTATACGTGTAGTACAGATGATCCTATCGCTTCGTTCAGCTGGCGCTGCAGGTTCATGGGCGCTCTCCGTTTTCGCCTTGGCTATAGTTTTGCCCATGAAAGTCAAGCCCCTGTCAACTTTGTCTCGTTTGCAGTGACGGGAGTTTGGGCGATGTCGAGCGCATTAGCCTAGCAACATCCACTTTTAAAATGCGGAACATCTGTTTGTTGGTGGGCCCTTGCAGCTATCGGCGGGGAGTCGGCAAGGTCCACTCTAGTGTGTTTTTCATGATTCCTCATGCTGGGGTGAATGTCGTGAGATTTGAGGGTTCAAGCTCCTTGCATGGATCGTGCGGTGACGGTCTCGGCGGCATCCGGGACAATCTCCGCTTTCGTCTGGCAGCTGATGTTGTTTTTAGGGGGTGCTTGCGTTCGCGGGCCGGGGTCGCGCCAGAGATGGTCTCGGGTACAGTCTGGGCCAGGATGCTGGCATGCCAAGGATGCCGGGGATGCAGCGCATGCTGGAAGATGCTGGGATGCGAGGGTGCTGAGTATGCTGAGTATGCTGAGGAGGTGCAGGGGTGGCCAGCTCATGAAACCACCTTGCTGGTCATAACCAAAAGTTAAAGCTTGCTAAAGTTATAAAATGCCCACAATTGACAACATCAGCCAAGGAGAATGCGCAGAACACATGACTTGAACGAAGCTGATAGACTGGCCCTCATCCCATTGCTCATTTACCCGGTTGGTGCCAATACTTCGCTCCCAGAGCTATATCGTAGTGAAATCCAAGCCAAGCTGATCGTGCGAAGATGCTTGATGATGCTGGTGGTGGGTGCTTTGGCCAAGACTGCCTGTTGCGACATGGCAATGCGAAAGCTATAGCATAAGAAGCAAAGCAAGCAGAGGGACAACGTTTGTACGTATGCAAGTATTGAGCTTGATGCCATATGCACTTTTTTGCTTCACCGGTTTTCCAAAGTGCCAGCAGGCAAAGAATCTCCCCGCTCACTACCTATCTCCTTTTACACGGCCAACGTAGGCAAAGGGTGGAAAGAGATTATGTGAGTGGCACCTGGCCACATGAGGGGTAGAAGATGGGCAGGAGCTAACTCACTTCTTCTTCCCACAGTCCAGCATGAGCTGGCAAAGAATCGGGGAAGACTATGGATTGGGCACTTGCTGTTTTGAGATGAGGACACGACCTCGGATGACGAGATGCCTGAGCCCCAGCATTTCAAAGCACGTGAGATTTGTTAAAATCCCCAGGAAAAGGACGTTTAGAAAGAACTTCCGTGTTACGGCAACTAATTGAAAGCTAGCTCCCTGACACAGATGACAAGAGAAGGAATAGCCACGCGGGAAAAAATCTCGCGCAGGCGCGTGTGGCGGGAGAGTAGAAATGCGAAAGAAAAACAACCAATCCTGCATGATGCTGGTCGGAGCAGTCTCGGAGCTTGTTCAGAGCGTGTTCATGTGGCAAGCGCAGCACTTTCGCAAGGCCAAGTGCAGATTGCGTGGCAGGCACAGTGTTTTCAAAGCAGCAGGTATAGATCTTGAAGCAGCAAGGTCAGGTACAGATTCTGTGGAAGGCGCATCACATTCCCAAGGTGAAGATTTCATGGCAGGTGCAACAATTTTGTAAGTTCAAGTGAATTTCATGGCAAGATCAGCACCTTCTCAAGGTCAAGCGCAGATTTCGTGGCAGGCGCAGCGCTGTCGCAAAGTCGCGCAAAGCGCAATGTAAGGTGTAGATTTTGTGGCGCGCGCAGTACTTTTGCAAGGTTAAGCCCAGATAGAGATAGATAGACATAGATAGGTAGATAGCTAGATAGATAGGTAGAGAGAGAGGCAGGAAGATGATAGATAGCCAGTTTTTTGAGATAGATAGGTAGAGAGAGAAAGAGGAGATAGATAGATAGACGGACAGATAGATAAATAGACAGATAGAGATAGATAGGAAGAAGGTAGGTAGATAGACAGATAGAGAGACAGAGTAGATACACAGAGAGAGGGAGAGATAGATGGAGAGAGAGCTGGAGAGATAGACAGGGAGAAAGAAAAATAGGGTTTTGTAGATGGATAGATTGAGCGAGAGAAATACAGGTAGATAGGTAGATAGGTAGATAGGTAGAGAGATAGAAAGATAGCTCGAGAGAGATATAAGATAAAGGATGTAAAAATAGAGAGAAAAAGATAGAGATAGAGATGGGTAGAAAGATAGATGCAGAGTTAGATCGAGAGACACATACGGAGAGGCAGGGACGGATAGATAGATGGCCAGATAAATAGATAGATAGATAGATAGATAGGTAGATAGATAGATAGATAAACACATAGATAGACAGATGGACAGAGAGGTAGATAGATAGAAAGACAGAAATACTGAAAGAAAGATGAGAAACAAAAGAAGCGAAGAGATGAGAAACAAAGAGATGAGAAGAGGACAAAAAAACGGATGAAAGAACAGGGGCAATGAACGCTGACAAACAGCAAGAAGAGACAACAAAAGAAGACAATAAAGAGAAATAAAACTGTATTCAATTTTTCCATTTTGAAGCTTCCGCCCGCCGGCTTGGCCGGCCCTACTGGAAACCAGTACGTTGTTAAAGATGGTAACAATCCATACCCGTACTGTAGACCGCGTTTGCAATTCCTGGTGTTGTTTGGGCATCGTCCCTGGTAGAGCACGTTCTGGTGTATGTTTGTGTCTCAGCGCCTCTCAGGGCAATCCCAGTGGAAGCTGCAGAGTGCAGTGAGGAGACCTTCCCTGTGCAGGTGCGCCTGGGGTGATGACTTGCATAGGAGCACCATTCTTGTCAGCAACCTTCACAAGACGCTTGTGCAGTTGCCACTGATTTGCTAACCAGGTTCCAAGGGCAACGCTGTTGTCGAATGGTCCTCCAGGCGATCGTTCAAACCGCCATACTTGGCTCAAGGAGGCTTGCAGGGTGGGCATTTCAGTGCTCTTCCAGGCAGAATGCACTTGGCTCAGGGTCACTTTCATGCTGCAACATGCGCAGTGCTTTGTGAGGCTCGTACCATTGATTACAGAGACGCGTATTTTGAAGGCGACTGCAGATGTTTGCAGTGGCCTAGGTTCTCCATTCGGGCCTTAGCCCGTCGGGCAGTTGTTCCACGGCTCCGGTTCCACCGCACATTCTATGAGGCCGTCATACCTTCGAGAGACCGAGAGTGCATAGGGATGCCGTATGCCAGGATGCAGTGGCCTCCACGAGCAACGCCTTGTATTTGGAGAGCTTGTACACGCAGTACCAGGCCGACCCCTCCAAATTAGATGCATCTTGGCCGCAAGCTTTTGACTTGCTTTGACTGATAGCATGTAGTTGCTTCGGTTGCTTATTCTCATTCAGCAGGATATGTGGAGCTTGCCAGTATGAACAAACGAAACAGCAAGACACAGGCCAAATGGGGTGAGTATTTCGCTGCGATGGAAGCTGGAAAGCAAGCAACCCCTCCAGCTATGGGTACATCTTTGAGGCTGGCTTCAAGGGCACATCAAGCAACGCAATGCCACATCATTTGGGTCCAAGTTGATTCGAAGCAAGGCTTGTCCCTGGACATATCCAGCATGCCGGCATTTGTGAGTGCATTGGTTCGAATGTCGGGCAGGGAGCTTGGCATCGAGACGCGCTTGGCGGCAGCAGCAACTTCCGGAGAGGCCGCCGCGGGTCTCATGGCCACCAGCAGCGGTGCAGGCGGGGTGCTTCCGAAGTCCGAAATGCAGCCATTGAACCCGTCCCTCAGCATCCACTCAGCATCCACTCATATGGCCACATATGGCCTTCTTGGCCGCACCAGGTGGCTTGCAGAATCTCATCCGTGCCTACCAGGTGCGGGGACACGAAGCGGCCTCTTTGGACCCGCTCAATTTGCACAGCTGGCGCTTCTCGGCCTGACATCATGCTTTCAATGCTTTCAATGAAAGGATGAGGTTTGGCCGCAAGCAGCTTGCTGCCTCGTCGTTTGTCCTTTCCTGTTATGTTTTCTTGTGTGTTGACTCAGTTTGAAGCGGCATGTGGCGCTTTTCAGACACTGAGTGCAATCCAATCAGGCAGTTGGGAGCAGAAAGGCATCGCTGCGAGTGCACCAGAGCTGGATCCTCACTATCACGGCTTTTCGGAAGCAGCGCCTTCGCAAAGCAGCGGGAGCAAGGGCAAGGAAGACTTGTTGTAGTTCCAAAGCATAGTCATGTATTCATCCATTTTTCTAGGGATGAACAAGCCGCCTTGAGGAGGAAACAAAAAGTCACTTCCCAGATGTGAGTGCCTGCCTTTGCAAGGACATGGACAAGACCTTTGATGTAAGCTTCGCTGGACTGAACAAAAGCGCGACCTTGCGCGAGATCGTGAGCACTCTCAGCAGCTTTGCAGGAGCATAGGATTTGGTTTTCCAAGTGTTGCAGGCAACTTAGATGACATCATTTACATTCAAGAGCAAACTGAGGACACGTATACTGCAACACCATCGGAATTGAGTACATGCACATCGGAGATCTCAAAAAGATGGACTGGATTCGAACGCGGGTGGAGAGCCCGGAGTTTCTCCCCAGCGACAAGGAAAGGCTTGCTAAGATCTACAGCGACTTGACAATAACTTAGCCATTTGACCAGTGGTCAGTTCTTGTCAACAATGATGCTTCAAGTTCAAAGTCACCCTGCCTCATGTGCAAAGAACCTCGCAATCTGTAGCTTACAGCGGCTTCTGCTGAAGTGCTTACGCTAAGTGTGAGCTTTCGGAGCAACCCCAAGTGGAACCGATAAGCGCGCCAAACACCTGCTCAAGCTGCCGCGTAGTGTCGCACACGAGTCGCTCAGAGTTGTCCGCGAGCGCCATCGCCTGGCCGAGCGACTCGAGCGCTTTAGGTGTTGGATTGCGGCTTCCCAGATGCCAGATATGGGTGTGCGTCAGACATAGGCACCCCAAACTCAACATCAGCTCCAAAGCCTTGACGCTGGCACGTCGCTGTTTTGCCATGGCGTCTTTCGGTCCGTGACAGACATTCGTGAGCCGTGGCGACACGGGCTTCCTGTCAATGCCCCCGCCGACAAGGAGATCAAAGGAGGAACAGGGCGAGGCCACGGTTGACGCGTTCGCGGGTTTGGAGTAAAGCATCATTTGGACGCAGTGCGGCCTTGGAGTGCGGTGTGATGTTCTGGAGTTGTGCTGTGGGAAGGCGGTGACATCTGAGCCGTGCCCGCATTGCGTCCTTTTCAAAGAGAATAGCCCCGTTGCGTCCCCGCTGCGCATGGGCCGGCGAGCTGTCGGAAAGTGGCAACCAAGCCAAGGCTGGTGCCGTTGGCGCGAGTTTCACGCATCGCGGGCTATCTGTGCACGCATTTCAACTTTCGCCAAAGTGTGCCTTCAAACAAAAGCCCCCGCCCCCTGCTCAGGACTCTGCAGGACGTGTGTTGACTTCCGGCGCATGGTGCTGCAGCCGCTGGTGAATTTTGCGGCATGCTGCAGTCATGTCGCGGCTGTCGCCCTTAAGGGTGGCCGAAGATGGCCGAAGGCCCCCATAAGTTCCAAAGCCAAACAAGACTTGTCACATCTTGCGGAATCATGATCACTCTGAGCGGAAACGGTGTCACTGCTTACGGAAGTGAAACTGTCACTGCTTACGGAAGTGAAGCCACTACACGCGGAAAAGTAGAGGGGTAGGAAGCTCCTTCCTTTCTAAGGCTCCTTTCTAAGGCTCCTTTCTAAGGCTCCTTTCTAAGGCTCCTTTCTAAGGCTCCTTTCTAAGGCTCCTTTCTAAGGCTCCTTTCTAAGGCTCCTCTCTACGGCTCCTTTCTAAGGCTCCTTCCTAAGGCTCCTTGCTAAGGAGAACCTTCATCACGGCCCGGAATGCCGGATTCCAGCTCGAAAAGCGGATCCCCAAGACAACCTTCATCACGGCCCCCTTTCAGGAGGGATTGGCCGGGGATCCGCTTTTCGAGCTGCAATCCCGGATTCCAGCTCCAGACAACCTTCATCACGGCCCCCTTTCAGGAGGGATTGGCCGGGGATCCGCTTTTCGAGCTGGAATGCCGGATTCCAGCTCGAAAAGCGGATCCCCAAGACAACCTTCATCACGGCCCCCTTTTCAGGAGAGATAGGCTGGGATCCGCTTTGCGAGCTGGAGTGCCGGATTCCAGCTCGAAAAGCGGATCCCCAAGACAACCTTCATCACGGCCCCCTTTCAGGAGGGACCGGCCGGGGATCCGCTTTTCGAGCCGGAATGCCGGATTCCAGCTCGAAAAGCGGATCCCCAAGACAACCTTCATCACGGCCCCCTTTCAGGAGGGATTGGCCGGGGATCCGCCTTTCGAGCTGGAATGCCGGATTCCAGCTTGAAAAGCGGATCCCCAAGACAACCTTCATCACGGCCCCCTTTCAGGAGGGATTGGCCGGGATCCGCTTTTCGCTGGAATGCCGGATTCCAGCTCGAAAAGCGGATCCCCAAGACAACCTTCATCACGGCCCCCTTTTCAGGAGGGATTGGCTGGGGATCCGCTTTTCGAGCTGGAATGCCGGATTCCAGCTCGAAAAGCGGATCCGCAAGACAACCTTCATCACGGCTTCTTTTCAGGAGGGATTGGCTGGGGATCCGCTTTTCGAGCTGGAATGCCGGATTCCAGCTCGAAAAGCGGATCCCCAAGACAACCTTCATCACGGCCCCCTTTTCAGGAGGGATTGGCTGCGGATCCCCAATACAACCTTCATCACGGCCCCCTTTCAGGAGGGATTGGCTGGGGATCCGCTTTTCGATCTGGAATGCCGGATTCCAGCTCGAAAAGCGGATCCCCAAGACAACCTTCATCACGGCCCCCTTTCAGGAGGGGTCCGCTTTTTCCGCAGAGACTGTGCTTTGTTTTTCCGCACATTTGGTTGTTTTTTTCCGCTCTGCGGGGTTCGCACGTTTTCCGCGCGCAGCGCCAAGCCTCAAAGCCAAACTGTTGGAGGCCCAATCGATCCCAATGGCAAGTTTGCCGAGGCTGCGGGCAAGGTTAATGTGGATGCGGGTTGGCGCGTCGAAGGAGGTCCTCAAACTAAAAAAAGCTTTTTTGGCAGGCAAGGATGTAGCCTTCATGTGCAGTGACCCGACTAGATACAAAGGTCTTCGGAGAGATAACAGGAGCTCGGCGGAGCCCTGGGGAAACAGCGCAAATTGGGTGGTGGCTGGCTCTTGAGCAACGAGTTATGTGGATGTCAGAAAGATGCTGGCAAGCCAGGTAGAAGCGTCAGTCCAGCAACTGTCGGTGAATGCGAGCCAGCTGCGTGCGGAAATGGGTTCAGATTGCTGCCCAAACTGAAGTGTTGCCGAAGGCTACCCAGCTTGGCTTGGTGGCGCATGCCGGAGGAGATTGCGAGGAAACTCGATTGAGTGGCAGTCAAGTGATGCCAAGGCGCTTTATGATACTGCCGCCGCAGAGTCGGAGCAACGAACTTGGCCGGAGTATGGAGAATCCTTGCCAAGCTGCAGTGGCCTTTGGAGAGCTAGCCGGGCAATTGCTGTCCGCATTGCTGGACATGGTGGGAAGGTGACATGGCGAAGTCCTTCACTGGGCTGAAGTTTGGGGTAGCTTCACCCGCTTCCGCCCACACAAGGCCACCTGGCCCTGGCATTTGCAGTCTTTATATCCGGGTGGCGTTTGGGTTTACGGAAAGCATGCTCAGGAAGGTGGCTGAGCCTATCTTATGCGCTCCTTCCAGCACTGCGTGGCCAGAAGTAAGTGGCATAGGAAACCTGCTGCGCGTAGGGCCACATTCTCCTT